TTTTCCACCCTCATTGTCCTATGTGTGGCCTGGTTTTTCCTGAGTCAGTTAGTTTTGACGCCTGACGTGGAATCGTGCGCCTACCACGAGCCGACACGAAACGCTGATACAGATACACCAATGCAAGTTCCACACCGCATCGCCCGTGCACGCGGCAACACGGATTGATTGCGATCATGGAGGGCTCCATTGTCTATTCACACGGGGAGTGTAGGGGAGTTTGACCACGACATGCATGGATTGCCCTCTTCATGCGTGCCCACGGTGGGTGGGGGAATGGTTTTGTTACTGTATGTATGTGGATGTGCTTCGCGAGGCATACCAGGAATATATAGCATGTGCAAAGATGTGAAATTAGGGCTTAAATTGGAAGGAAAAATGTTGGGAAATTGTGAACTGTGGTGTGCAGCTATACCATGCTGCTTATGCCTTTCACGATTGTTTTTTGTTCAACCTACTGGAACAGGCGTGTCAGGTTCGTTGTCTCTGACGAAACCGACTAGCTAGAAGAGCTAGATCCTTCAGTAGATTGTTATTGTTCCTTCAGACACAAAGAAAGAAAGAAAGAAAGAGCCCACAGGCCACAGAAATATATAGCAGATGAGTGGAGTTCCCCTAGTGCCAACAACACTCGAAGACACGCTCAAAACACACAGGAAACACACGGTTGCAGACATTTAGATCTTTTTGGCCGTACAATAATAGAATACATTACAGCATGGACTAAATATGCCATATATGACTAGAACAACAACAATTTACCAACAAAAACAAATCCATTTCAAGGAAAACAAAGTATTACCATGCACTTTTACATGTCAATGACTGACACCAACATGTTCTAAAATCCCAATAATCTACTGCCATAACTAACTAGAATTGAAATGATAGTTGAAGCATCCCAGATTCAACATGTGTTCTACTATTTAAAATGCAAAAGATTACATTATGCACATTCTACCAAATCTCTGTCAAACCTTGCCCTATAGCTTCAAGATCAAGGTTTCAGGCAGGTATGGAGTCCAGGAGTTCAATGTCAGCATTTGAACCAACCCTCCATTTGGATGTGGACTGAAAAACAAGAAGTTAGTGTAAGATGGCATGGCATATTGGCATCAGTTTTCAAGGTAAACATTATATCATGTTGGCTCACACTACCTCTACCTCTACTCAATTTGATAATGGAAGTTGTCGGGGCAGAAAATGATGGGTTAGGCTGACTGTACGTGTTGTTGAATGCCATGCCTGAACTGAAGATCTCATGATTACCAAAGCAATGGCTATTTGCTAAGAGATTAATTGGGAAACATAGTACATAGTTCTTGTTAACAATGAGTCAAAATTCTTAGCATACTAGTGCACTTCTGAACATTTATATGAGTACTAACAGAACCTAACTGAATGTTCCACAACAGCAATTTAAACCTCACTCAGTTGATATTACCGAGTCTTCCACACAAACCTACCATTCAGAGGAGAAAACAAAATGTGCCTTTATAAGACACTGAATATCATGTACATCTAGCAAGTGTCTGCTAACTATCAGTAATCTCCATGAAAACATGTAATCAAAGTTACCCCAGGTGATTTGAAGAACTTAGAATCTTATCTTCATTAAGAAAGCTGTGATAGGTCCCCTGCTGCTCCCTTATTCTTCCTTCTTCACATATATATTATATATACCCCACAGAATGTAACTCATGGGAACATCTTGCAATAAAATCAAAGATAAACACTAATCATGTCGCTAGGAAATATAGCACTATTTTAGTTCAATTTAACCAGTAAGCTTTCTAAAAAAATATGGTGCACAAATGAACAAATATGTTAGGGTAGTATTTGAATGAAGCAAAGGTGTATATGAAAAGACTGGGAACGAACACTTACGTATATATAGACAAAGGAAGGAATGACTCTGAGAAAATGTCATCATAGTTGCCAATGACTGCATCGCCCACCTGAGTACAGGAAAGGTATACTCTTTCAGCATATAAAACATTAATTTTTCAACAATTGGTAAATTGAAGGTTGGCATCTGAAAGCATTAGAAGTGACGATTTTAACAGTAAGGGGGAAAAGTGTACGATCAAACATAGAAATTGAAGGTATCTATAATCTGTCTATCTCTAAAGAACATGACATACTCCTGCTTCCAGAAAACATGCGCAATTGGAGTACCTGGAACAGGCCCAGTAAGTTCAGTTAGAGCTGAACCTTGAGGAATGGAGAACAATGATGCTGCTGTCAGCCCTTGTAGTGCCTGCGTGGTCAAACAGGGTATAAATAAATTATGGTTTCAACTCTAGAAAGTAAATGAACTTTTATGAAAAATATGACAATATAACACAACGTGTTGTATGTAGTACCAGCAATACATTTTCTCTGGGTGAGGATCGGTCAACTCCTGGAGATGCACCTACTTGGTAGCATCAAGAATTCACAATGCTGATTACAGAGACCGAAACATAAGCAAGAGCTAATCCAGTATATATCAAATAGGTAGCTAGAGAATAGAAATGCAAGTAGATGGACAGGAAACTCTGTGGTGCGAGGAAACGCCATTGGGTTTTAATAACTCTGATTACAGGCATGGCTTCCTTTAACTTTACTATCCCAGGCCAGCAGAAGTAACCAGCCTTTCTGTCCTCAAACAACTCCTCATTCTTCGCTGGCTGATAGGAAAATTTATAGTTATGTAATTTTTAGACAAATATATAACAAAATTAATATTAGAAGTCTAGAATTTTATTAATTACCTTTAGTGATGAGTATTATGTTTCTACAAACAATTTACTCGCCTCTAGTTTGGTGATAGTAATCGGGCCAGAGATTAGAAAATAAAGAGTTTTAAAATTCTTCAGAGATTACATACCAAATTCACTAAGCTTCATAGATTAGATACCAAAGAGCATTTAACACTAACTAAGCTTTACTAAAAATAGCACTTGATTGCCTAAGATAGACCTAATTCAGCTTACAGAAACAGAACTATTTTCCACCATCCACCCCAATATAAAATCAGGAGTTTAGGTTTCCTAATGAAGAGCATTATAAGCATCCAAGACATATCAAAATGGGAACAATGTTGGATCCCATTATTACACCAACACTGTCTAGAATACTGACAAAAATCAAATTTATTTAGTTCATCAAACTACTAGTGGGCAACCCTTTGTATAATTAAGTGCCTCAGTTGCAGTGCAGACTTAAGGAATAAACCGTGTTCAAACCCTAGATGGAATGAATGAACTACAGGCCTATAATCTACAGAAACTGTGTAGAGAGCTCAGTAATACCATCATTAATTCAATCTAATCACGAGTAGCTACGAGCACAACTCAACACAAAAACAAAATTATGAACAAGGGATTCAACAGTAAATGAATTCAGAGAGAGAGAGAGAGGCTGGAACATGCAAGGGTGGGGGTGGGTGGGTGGGGGGAGCTGCGGATCGGGTGGAGGAATCAGTGATGGTGACCTGCGACGGGGCAAGTGAATTTTGGGATTTCGGTCCAGGCAGGGATGAAATCGCAGAAGATTTGACGATGGATGAGACAGCGAGCAACGACGTCTGCTTGGATGCGGAGGTGGGGCTGCTTGCGGTGGCGGCGGCTTGCAGCGAGGAGGGTAGCGGCCGCCGGTGACTGCTGCGATGCGAGCCTGGTGAATCGTGAATCGTGGTGATTTGGGCCTTTGGGGCGTCGTGATCTAACAGAAGATGTTCTCCTGCCGTTCAGCAGGAGTTGAGTGCCACGGCAAACACACGGAGGAGAGAGTTTTCCGTGTGTTACCCCTGCCATTTCGAGTGTTTTTGTGTTCACACGGAATTTATTTCTAGTGCTCAGTGTTGGCGAATAGTTCTCGGAGAACCCCTCAAATCTAGGAGAAATTTCATTTTCTGGTTGTGATAGCCGCCGCTGCCACGAGTTAGAGACGATGCAGCGCGCAAGGTTCCAAATTAATCAAGGAGCTAGCTAGAGAGCCTGGTACACTGAAGAGAGTGCAGAACAGAGACACCCCAAAATCTTGGAAACGGGCAGTTCCCTCCCTCAATCTGATTCAACCAATTGTTTCACAAAAAAAATTATTCAAAATGAGCCCAAACTGCGCCTATGTACGCCCATCAGAGAAGGATGGAAGGCGCCAGATTACCAGAATGCTAGTGGCGGCCGTACGTGATCCCTGTGCTAAAGCAGAGGGTGGCTTCCTACATTTGATTTATTTTTTTCAGCATCTAATATCTACTATTATAAACATTCAGAAAATGCCAGGATCATGCCTGCATAAATCAGAACATGTATTCATGCAATGTGACATCTAACATACATAAAGATCGAAAAAGTCGAGTTACACATGCAACATTGGAGTTTGGAGGCAACATCGAATTTTGTAAATTTTCATCATGCAAACAAATGATATCCTTAGCAAAGAAAGGCAAAGCGAAAGCACTCATGGCAGAATGAACAGAATCAAAGATCCAAGGATCACTATAAAATTTCTGGAATGCATTCCTCAGTGGTAAATCCTTTGCATGGTAGATGGATATTCATTGGGCGCATTAACAGTACCCACAACTGAACTCAAGATGCTTAGCTCTGAAAGACACCTATCAGGAACATGGTGCAGAACCTTCAGATGCTGAATTTGTAAAATCCAACTGTTCACCAACTTAGCATTTGCCATTTACTTTTCATCAGGTCCCTCCAACCATTATCAGAACTTTAACCAGACAACACTGTGAAATCTATTACCCAAGGCATTACCGTGTGATAAACCACCCATTGTCTGACATACCTCTAGGCTATGACAAGATCACAGCTGTTTCCAAATTTATATTACAACTTCGACTTGATATAAGGGGGGGGAGGGGAACTTCTAATCTAAAGAAGATAGATGATTAAGTGAGGCCGCAGTGTGGACTGCGTGAGGACCGCGCAGAGACTGTTCATGCCTACGCCATACTTGTAGCTACCCAGATTAGCTTCATTCAGCTCCTCCAGTCATGGGTCCTGAGGAGTATCACTGCAACATCATTAACATCACTTGTCAGTAAAGATCAGTGCAAAGGAGAAGAAAAGGGAAACTGCATCAAGTTGGAAAAGGGATAGATACAAAGATCAGTGGCTTTTGCTATGGTTATGGCTGTCATTCATTATATGGAATATTTATAAAATTGTTCACATAACAGATTTTGATGCTACCAAACTGGGATATTTACAAGTCAACAACTGTATTCAAAATACAAACCACAAATGGTCTTCGATAATATTAAAAAGAATAAACAAGAAAGTTTATGGCATTAATAGGATAGGCTATAGCTCAGTTGGAGATGTACTCCTCATATAAATTAATATGCTCAGAACTAGACTACAAATTTGAATACAGTAGCATAACGAAATACTTACCAGCTTAGTGAATAAATCTCAAAGCTCTTGAAATGTACCGTGTCTTCTTCACAATCCCAGAGAGTGATGGACGGCAATGGTGGTGAGGGGTGCCATCCAGAAGCAGGGGCAGTGCTCTCAGATGTCCATGTGTTTGCCTCAAGAGTGAAGAACGTGGAGCCAACAATGAGAACAGCGGTGGAAATGTTTTTCTGATGGGGAGGGGTGAACTGGGAAATATCCACATTTTCCTATGAGCGAGGACATTCATAAACTGAGCTTCATCTGAAATGTATTTATGGGAGGAGCATGGGAGTTCAAAGTGGCGAACATCAGCAGTTCTCAAGCATACTGCTGCACCCATACCAATGGAGGATTTCTCTGCATATTCATCAGGCAATCCCTTAAGTCCTCCTCCTGTAGGATGAAAGCAGACAGCAGGTCTTCCAACTCCACCCTTTGGTCCTCCTCCTGCAGGATGAAAGGAGGCAGGAGATCTTCCAATTCCATCACTTGGTCCTCCAGTAGAATACGAGGCAGCAGATCCTCCTCCCTTCAGCCCTCTTCCTCCCCTCAGCCCTTGTCCTCCCTGCATCGAACCTCCTCCATTTGGTCCTTTTCTTTCCCCCATTGATCCTGGTCCTCCCTTCAGTCCACCACCTCCCTTTGGTCTTTTGTTTTTGTTGACTGTCTGCTGAGCACGTTTCCTCTTTCTTTGTACACCTGCCCCTATGTCATTCATTGTGTTCTCATATATAGGCAGTCTTGGAGGGTCTTCATGTTCAAAGTTCGACTCTTCCGCGTTATAACCATCTCTGAACAAGATACCAACATCAGATGCAAGTTCATCTATGCTTTTGTGTTCAAGCCCGTTTATCCTTATTGGCAGTGGTTTTTCTCCGGCCTTCATAAGATCGACACTTTCCATCACAATACCTGAAGCTTTCTTGTAATTGGTAACATAGTTGCAATTGGAGGGATCTTTTCCAAGTCTGCTCAGCCCCAAATCTGTGAACGATTTGCATACGAACCGAAGAATAGGTGGATATCTTGATGCTTCCGATATGTGCACAGCAATAATTGCCACTTCCTCTGATATATCAATCTTTTCTCCCCCAGCATGTCTCCAAATCTTATCAAAAGCTTTGCGGAGGTAAAACAAGCCAGTAGGTATCCACCCAACTCCCTGAGGGACGAGATGATTATAGTTCACTCCTATTTTGAGCTTTATGCATTTCTTATCCAAAGTGAAATTCTCTTCCTGATTTTTGGTGTCCAGTTCAAAAACCTTTCCCCGGCCTCTCCAGCCTCTAACATACAAATTCCTCCCCTGGATTAAGAATGTCAGGGATCTCCCCTTATACTTCAACTCAACATCAAGTGCCCCACCAGCTCTGGTTGTCACTACCTTACGACCAGGCCCAAAGATGTCAGAGACATCCACTGTAATTCCGCCTTCTTCGCACCATTGTTTCACGCCACCTATACCTGCACGATATCGTTCCCTGGCCTCATACTGATCTCCATCAATACACAGAACAACTGTAGTCCTGGCAGTTGACCTCTCAGTGCAGTCCCTGGCTCTCACCTGTTAAACAAAACATAGTACAAAAACAGTCAAACAATCACCAACTAAATTTTGAGGTAAGGTCAGTAGTGAGTACATTGATAAAAGAATAGATTTACTACTATGAATTGTTAGAGATGATGAATGATTCATTTATTTTAACATCCTGTATTGTGTATAACAGCACCTAGCCAGAGCTTCAACCATGACAGGGCAAAGTCTCTGGACACTGAGCTTCCTGGAAGTCTCTAGCGACACAGAGTGGTCTCAAATCTTGGACTCGATTCCAGGATTTCGAGTGGGTTTTCCAAACACGCGCATAACGAATCCACGATCTCATCCATCTCAGCTTCCAAATACATCTCTCTGTCCACATCAAATCCACGCTCTCATCCGTCTCAGTTTCCAAATCCATCTTCCTGTCAAACCATTGTCCATCCATCCATCCACGCTCTCATTCATCTCAGCTTCCAAATCCATCTCTCTGTCCACAACAAATCCACGCTCTCATCCATCTCAGTTTCCAAATCCATCTCCCTATCAAACCATCGTCCATCCATCCATCCACGCTCTCATTCATCTCAGTTTCCAAATCCTTCTTCCTGTCCAACCATCATCCAGCCATTCATCAGTTTGCGAGTCTGGACCCCTAGGATGATGCCTATGGAGCAAGGAATGGAAGCGAGGGAGGAACTCCAAGGCCGATTGGGGAAGTTGAAGTTGTCGAAAGCAGAGAACTCGGTGATGAAAGGAGTCTGGAAGGTAAAAAGGAACAGCTCGGATGGAGTTTTGCAGGCAGTGGGGAAGCTGTTCTCTAAGAAACTAGGGAATGCCGAGGGGATAATGAATGCTGTGGGGAATATTTGGTGTCCTCGGAGGGGGATTCGTTGTAGAGATTTGGGGGATAACATTTTCCTTTTAACCTTCCTACAGCTGGCTGGTAAACAGCGAGCGATTGAAGATGGCCCATGGGAGTTTGGAGGTGATTTGCTCATTGTGCGTGAGTTCGATGAAAGTAGTTTGCTAGAGGAGCTGGAGTTCGTGCACACGCCAATATGGATTCGGGTCTCTAGGCTTCCCATTGGCCTGATGACTATGGAGACAGGGGAGAAAATTGGCCACAAAGTCGGCAAGACTATTGAGGCTGACACAGATGAAGGAGGTTCAGCAATTGGTAAATATCTAAAGGGCAGCCCAGTGCACGAAGCTCCCGCTTGCGCAGGGTCCGGGGAAGGGTCCGACCACTTGGGTCTTTTGTATGCAGCCTTTCCCTACATTTCTGTAAGAGACTGTTTCCAGGACTTGAACCCGTGACCTCATGGTCACAAGGCAGCAGCTTTACCACTGCGCCAAGGCTCCCCTTCAGCAATTGGTAAATATCTCAGAATCAAAATTCAGTTTGACATACGCAAACCGTTGCTGCGAGGTGTTAGTGTTACAATGGAAGTTGGTCCAAATGGAGAAACTCAATGGTGCCCGTTGGTGTACGAATTCCTACCTAATTTTTGCTATATTTGTGGCCTGTTGGGGCATGTTGATCAGGAATGTTCGTCAGGAAGCTGGAAGGAAAAGAAGAAGCCTTTTGGGCCGGAACTCCGGGTATGGCCTTCTCGTCGGCGAAGTATGGATGACACAAAGAGTCGAACTTTAAAGAGTAGTGTTTCAGGGGGGCCAAAATCAGATGGTAACTCAGTAATTCCAGTGCAATTGGATAAGAAAGGGGGCAGCAGCTCAGGTTCTGGAAGAGTTGCCAGAAGGGAGGTGGTGGTAGGAGAGTTTTCCAGCCCATCAAAATCAAATTCAAGGCCCCGAGGCGGCGGTTCTGAAAATAAAATATCATGGGTGGAGAGTACTGAACAGGAGGAAAGGGGGCAACAAGATGGGGGCGAGGAGCTGGTGCAAACACAGGATGGAGATTGGAGAAAATTAGATGTGGCACCAGAAACAATTGGGGAGGATGCAGGTGCTAGGAAGGACGCTTGTGAGGGAGTTGGAACCATTAGTGCAGATATAAACTTACAAAATGCTGCTGGTGTTGAAGATACAGTTGGGGTATTGCAAGGTATGGATGTGGATGCTAGCCCGGTGGCTGTTACTTTTTCTCATGAGGAGAAGATGTTGGGCATACAGAGTGTTGAGCACTTGTTGGAGGAGGAAAAGAGGGCTGGTAATGTGGGTGAGCTCCTGCAAGATTTGAAGCAAGTTGGGATGAATAAGAAAGAAAGAACTTACAAGAGAGTGAGAAGGGTGAACAAAGAAATTGTAAAGGAAGTTAAATCTATGTTGGGAGAGAAGAGATCTTATGATGAATTTGATGGGGCGGGTGTTGGGAGTAAGAAGCAGAAAATGGAGGTGATGTGTGGGGACGAGGAGGGTGATGTGGTGGAAGTTGAAACGGTTTTTCCTTCTGAAATGGCAGGGCTCCCTCGGCAACCCTTCCTGACAAAATGAAGATCACGGCTTGGAACTGCCGAGGGTTGGGGAATGCCTCGGCAGTTCGGGGGCTTCTGGATCTCAAGAAGCATAAATCCCCAGACATACTCTTCCTCTCTGAAACAAAAATGGAGTGGAGGAGGATGGAAAGATTTCGCTGGGTGCTTAATATGCCAAACATGATGGTTAAGGATTGCAAAGGAAATAGTGGTGGACTCGCTTTATTTTGGAGAAGGGAAGTAGATCTTATAGTAAAGAGTTTATCAAGGTACCACATTGATGCTCTAATAAGAGAAGAAGATGGGGTGGAATGGAGGTTGACTGGGGTGTATGGAGAACCAAAAACGGAGAAGGGAAAGACTTGGCGTTTAATGAGAATTTTAAATAACCTGTACACAAAGCCTTAGTTGTGCCTTGGAGACTTTAATGAAATTCACTTTGGATATGAGAAAGAGGGGGGCCAGCCTAGGTCTGTTGTGTGCATGGATCGCTTTAGGAAGGCCTTGGAAGATTGCAAGTTGGAGGACTTGGGATTTGAGGGGGGTATGTTTACTTGGAGAAATCATCACCATTGTGCGCAAGGGTATATTAAGGAAAGGTTGGATAGGGCTGTTGCTACTACTGAATGGTGCAGTCTGTTTCCATTGGTGCATGTGGTGAATGGAGACCCTCGGCATTCGGATCATAGACCAATAATTGTTCAATGCGGAGAAAGGGAGAGTTATGATTATGGGCATATAAGGGATCTATCTCTCAAGTTTGAAGCAAAGTGGCTAGAAGAGGAAGAATGCAAGGGGAAGGTGGAGAAATCGTGGGCTGAAGCAATGGAATCAGGAACTATGAGGATATTGGATATACAAAAGAAAATTCTGGGTGACCTGCGAGATTGGGATAGAAATGTCTTAGGAGACCTAGAGAAGCGAATTAATATAGTGAAGAAGGATCTTGAGAAATGTAGGAGAGGGCTTTTGAACCAGGAGAATGTAAACAAAGAACATACTCTTGGGTTCAAGCTGGACAGACTACAGGAACAACTCCATATTCACTACTTCAAAAGGTTGCAGACCTAATAAATCCAATTACTGGAATGTGGGATGAGCAGCAGGTTAAAGACACCTTTTGGGAAGAAGATGCAAAAATTATCCTATCAATCCCACTGTTTGAAGATATGGAAGACTATGTAGCCTGGCATCCAGATCCTAAGGGTTTGTTTTCTGTGAAATCAGCATATGCCTTAGGAATCAGAATTCGGGATCAAACTGGTGGCACCAATGCATCGACCTCCTCTGCAGCTACATGCAGTTTTGATTGGAAGAAGATTTAGAAAATGAATATGGCAAATAAGGTGAAGGTCTTTGTATGGCAATTTGCCCACAACTCTTTGCCGGTTAAGCGAAATATTGCAAGGCGACGAATCAAGTTGGATACCCTCTGTCCTATGTGCCAGAGATTCGATAAGGATATGGGCCACTTATTTTTCAAATGCAAGCAAATGAGGCTATGTTGGTTGCTGCTGAATTTGGATAAAGTGAGGGGTAAATTATTGTCTTTATGTTCAATCAGAGAAATATTAGAGAAAATTTGGGATTTGGATTGTGATAAGCAACATACGATTTTTCTACTACTACGGTGCTGGTGGTCTGCACGCAACAAAGTGAACGCTGGGGAACAAAGGAAGAGCGCCCAAGAAGTTGTTAATGATGTGTTTTATCATCTGAACGCATGGAATTTAGCGCACAACAAGAATGATCCAATACACAAATAATCTACCATTTCAAGGTGGAAGGTACCTCCTGACGGATTTTATAAGATAAATTGTGATGGGGCCTTCTTGCCAGAGACTAACCAAGGAGGATGGGGATTCATTATTCGTGATCACTTCGGTCAGGTGATGGCTGCAGGAGCAGGTGCAACTGATTTTCTGATGAATGCCCAACATGCAGAAACAGTGGCCTGTATGAAGGCCATTGAGCAAGAAGCAGCATTAGGAATGGAGCAAATTGTTGTTGAAACTGATGCTGTAAATGTGGCTATTGCACTGCAGGATACAGCCTTTGACAGATCAGTTCTAGGCACAATGTTTAGGGAGATTAGATAAAAAATGATGTACGATTTTACTGAATGTTCTGTTTCCCATTGCCCAAGGACTTGTAATTCTGTAGCTCACACACTAGCAGCCATGGGCTTAAGTTGGACAAACGGTCCCTTGTTCTGGCAACGCTGTTACAGTTTTAGTGTCTATAGGGATCTCTCTGGATAGAGGTTTTAATAAATTCTGGTCTCAAAAAAAAAAACCATGACCAGGCTCATTTTAAGGTCAATTTCGCAAGTGAAAGAGGTGGAAAGGGAAAATCACATGTTCATGATTCAAATCGATATTCTACCAGTAATACGAATTTCGTACCGGAAATTTAATGTCCATGTGTTCAGTTAATTTCAACAGCATATATTTTGCAAAAACACACACAAAAAAAACCAGCGAAATGGTGAAAGGGGCCAAGGGGAGACGATCACCTCTCTCGCGTGAGGGAGCGGAGGTGAGCGTCGAGAGCCCGCCATTGGCAGCCGAGGTCGCCGACGACTGCGGCGTCGGCGTCGGCGTCGGTGGAGAGAAGTTGACCTCTCGAGCGCCGAGGGAACCTAGGGTTCGAGGCCTCCGCACTGCGCTGCGGGGGCGGGGGCGGGGGCGGAGGCGGGCAGCGGAATGGTGGGGGACTGGGGGCGAAGCCGATCGTGCCGCTGGTGAACGGGAGAAGAGAGGGGTTTGAAAGGAGGCCACTGACGGCTGGGGCCGACGGATTTTTGGTCGGTCCGAGATGCTTGCGACTTGCGCTCTGCTTGTGGGCTTCGTTTCCGTGGGATTGGTGGGACCGTTTGTATATAAGTGTGGCGTTGCTCTTTTTTTTTTAGTGAAAAGCTGGTTTTATTAATATGTATATCTATATCTATACCTAATAATAAAGTGATAAAATTTCTGCCAAAAATAAATTTTCGTCCA